CGTCTCTGTTGGAGCTGCCCGGTGCCGCGCCGTGCCGGTGCGGCGTGGCTTTTACCTTGTGTGCCATCTTCTGTGGGCCGCCGAGGATAAGGGGGCTCCGCTTTGCGCTTTATATTGTTTGGCAACGGCAAAGCGCTTCCTCAGAGTCAGAAGGAAAGAACCGTTACCTCATTCCAGGGAACTGTTCCCTAGTTCCTCCTTGAAACAGTTTTCAGGCTGGGTAGAGTTGGTGGGAAGGCGTCAGAAGAACATGGGGCATTAAGCTGCACGGTTTGTTGGCAGAACGTGCTTTTCACAGGACAGGGCAAGTGTTGGCCTTTACTACAGGTGACTCTCTTCTCCCCGCAGGTTGAAGAACAGCAGTTGAAGTTTCACTGTAAAGCGGGTTCTCCCCTAAATCAAAGGTAGGGTCAGTGCAGCAGTGGTGAGTTATTTCTCCCGTTTGTTTCCTTAGAAGACAGCAACACGCGTAAAATGGAAGCGCGCGGCCCGGAACGCAGGACTGATGCTGCTTCCTGCTTCTGCGTCTGTGTACCTTGCTTCCTACACCTCGTAGGTGAAGCCGTGTCTGTAACGTATCTGCCGCGGCTTTCAAACTAGTGTTTATAATGTGTGAGAACTACACCACGCTTTAAAAATAGTGTGTGCCCTATGGGTTTTGGTTTCTTTGAACTTCATTTCAACACCAGTTTTTTTCATCGCTCTCTGCTTTTCTTGTCTCATTCTTTCGTTGTGCCATTTTGCAGAAGGGCATTCAGTACCATAGATATAAATGACATAATAATGGTTTTTGTTACCCAAGCTTTACGTATAAAACTTTAAAAACCTGTCGTCAGAAGCAGGTTTCAGTGGTGATTAAACTGAAATGGTTTAAAGCTGTTTCAGAGCATGAGGCCAGACTGCAACTTGCATTTCTGTTTCAGCGGTTGCACACTAGTTTTTTATAAAGTGTTCTGCCATATCTTTTTGAAGATGTGTTAAAATGAGGTGAACTTAAAATGAGAGGAATGAGGTTTTAGTTTGAATGTCGTGTTTTCGTAAAAAATAAATTTGTAGCAGTTCTGTTCCTCTATTTCTGTCAGTAGCAGTATGGGAAAAAACCCCATAACTCTTTCCTACTTAGACATATTTATTTGTCTTCTGTACTGTGGCTTAAATTAGGCAAAGCGTAGACAGCCTTGTTCATTTATCTAAAGAAAAAATAATCTGTTGTTTTTGAAAAATCTTCGTAATGCCTGACATTAGTCGTTATACTGATTGTGGTTGTTAGTGTAGTCGTTAGTGGTTTTAAGTAGTACCTTGAATAGCCAGGATACTGGCAGTTCTTTTGGTTTTAGTGCTCAGTAGAAATACTTATATGACATGAGTGATACAGGTACTATAATGTTAGAAAAGAGACTCAGGGGAAAGTGTATGGAAGGCTGGAGAGAAATTGGAATAACTACCAACTGTTCCTGAAATTGACAGTATCCTTAAGAGCATCGCTAATATGTTGTATCAGTATCGCTATGAATGCTAGCATTTGTGTTACCCTTTTCAGAAGGTGACCCGTAAGTCATTCTTGTGGCTTTTCAGAATGAAAACTTTTTTTTCCTGTTCTCCTTAAAACAAATGTGCTGGAAAAGGCAGTCTTAAGTTTCTACTTGAACCTCCCAAGCTGCAGTTTGTAGCTTTATAGTTAGCTATTAGTTATATAATCTCCTAATAGGAAGTGTCTGTTTCTGCCCTCTTTGTAAGTGCTGCCCTTCAGGAAGTTAGTTTGAAGTGTCCACTAAGTCTTCCCTTAGCTTTTACATTACTAAACAAGTCCTCAACCTCTCCCCATAGGTAATTTGCTTTGGACCCCAGACCGTCTTAGTAGCTGTGGCCTCTCTCCAATTTCTACACTTCTTTCTTGAACTGGGGAAAGGTAGAACTATGATGACAAAACTGAAGACGGTATTCTAGAAGCAGTCGTGCGTACTGCTGAGTAAAGGAGGATGAGAGCATCCCTAGAGCCACTTGCCACGTTCCTCTTAAAGTAGCCCAGTACGTATTTGGATTATCAGTGAGAACACGCTGTACTTTGAGTGATATATTTATCACTTTTTCTCCTTCTGATTTCAGGGAATCTTAACTGAATCCATTCCTGCACCTCATTACTATGGAAAAGAATTTATTGAATTCTTAACGAAAGATAACAAAAAACGTACAGAACTAATTGCTTGGATAGGAGTGAGTTGTTACATTGTATTCTTTGAAGTCCAGAAAAAGTGAAGTGTGGAGGTGTTTACTGATGAAATCCTTTGTTTTTTTCCCTTGCAGATGTATAGCAGTCCTTGATTTGTTTTCAAAACTGACTTGTGATTCTAAAATTTGGATGTATTTCAGTGTATGGGAAAAGTACCTGGCTACTCTTTTGCCTCTATCAATAGGATTGACTACTCAGGAAGAACATTAAACCAGTATGGCAGAACATTTAAGAGACTTGGAATATTCTCTGAAGTAAACTCTTTATGCAGATACTCCCTTAGAAAGGGAATTAAAGAATGAAGAGTAGAACAGAAGTGAGTCCTGTATTTTTGCAAGTGAAAGGAGATGAAGGAGTTTGGGCGTGGGAATGTAAGTGCAGGACATTGGATGTTAACGATGAGGAGCTGAGGGGTGGCATTTGATTTGTTGCCTATTGTCTAGGTGTAACGGAGTGGTTTTTTTCCTGTCAGCTCAGACTTGAGAACATGCTGTTGTCTGTTCTGTGCATATTCAGTGGGATCTTCGAGAGCAGCTTTTCCTTGTTGTGTGTCATTAGGCTCTTTTCCCTCATAGAAGAAGAAATTCTGGCATGGCAATAGAGACATGCTTGGATTTGCAGCTGACAGTATTGAATGTTTTCTAATTGAAGGAATTTCTTTTCCTTCCTCCCCCACCTAACATGTGCTACTTGGTTATGATAGCAATGGGTACGAACCACAAAAAAGCAGCAGAAAGCAAGTAACGTTCCTGAAATTGCTCAGTGTTTATTGTGAAGACACAGCCTGAGATTAGTAAAGATGGGAAATGTTAACCTTACCCAATGATCGAACTTGGAAATTCTGGCTGTTATGACTCAAAGTGCAGACCCTGCCTGCCTTCTATGAAAACGTTGCTTATATGGTTGACAGACTCTACCAGCGTTTCTATATATGCCTTATGGCTGGGAAAGTACCCAAAAGACAGCAGCTATTTGATACTCGCCTCCTGTTTCATCTCTAGGACAGTGTTGTAGAACCTGTTGAACAGTGAGTTAAGCTCTGGAAGTACCCGACAGAAAATCCTTGTCCCTGTGATGTAACCTGTCTATGGTTTAACCCATGTGCCGCTGCCTTTACTGGGCAACAGAAAAGCATGATTTGTAAGAGATGAAAATTGTCTCTATCCCACAGTATTAGAGCCAGTATTCATGAGCCTTTGCTGCTCTGTGGGGTCTAAGAGCGTCTGTATGTCCTCTGCATAAATTGTGATCTGAAGAGGCCCTGACCCTTCAGTTAAAAAAAAAAAAAAAGAGGGTAATGGGTGGTGTTACAACAAATTAAGATTTGCGAGATCTGGGTTTAAACTCCTGAAGTACAGCTGCGTTCTGTTTGCAGGAATTGATTTCACAAAGGCATCTGTAAACAGCAGTAATTAAAACTGTTTTGGGAAGATCCCATTAACACGAGGTATGAGCTGATGCCCTCATTGAGTCAATCATCTTTACAGAGTGCATGCAGAGTTCCTGATAGAAATCCTGATGGTGAGAAGGGAACGTAAGGAGAGACTTCATCAGAGTTGAAATTGCCTGTTAGAACCTGAGCCTGTAATGGCCTGGCACTGTTGGAAGTCCCATATTCCTCCTTCCTCCCATAGCCATTTCTGGTGTCTGTGGAACAGTGTGTTCAGATGGCTTGACTTTTCGGCTTGTTTTTTTGTCCTGTTCCCCCCTGCCCCTCTTTTGGCTTTTTGGGGGCAATTATTAAGTTGGCTTTGTCATAATATGTAAGTTTCCTTTAAGTTCACTTCACATTTTGATAAGACAGAGAAGCAAAAGAAGAGTGATATACAGGATAGGTCCCAGGAACTTGTGGTTTTGCATTTAGGAATTAATTTTACTTGAACGTTCTGTAGCTGACAGGAGTGCTGGAGCCATCTTGAAGGCATGCTATTGTTTTGTTTTTATGTATCTGAATCTGGTAATTGATTGTTTTCAATTTTTTAAGATTTAAGAAAAAAAATTGCTTTTTTTTCCCTTTCGTGTAAAGATTGGTTTTTCTGAGAAAAAGAGGGTTGCTAATACCGTATCATTGCATTTCGCTGGGAAGGGAGATCTCTAAATGTGGCTACTCATTCACTCTTACAGTACTGGTAAGCACCCTAATATAAAGTCATGGATCTCCCAATAGTTGTCATAGTGTTTATTAAAATTGGAGTTCAGTGAACCCCTTAAGCAGGCAAAAGCCAGCACTGCTGCTGAAGAAGCAGTGCATCTGTTGCACAGTGAAGAAGCTGCTTGCATCTGTTATGCCTGCTTTTTTCATGCCTAGCACATTTGTCTGTCTAGCTGGGGAGCTTGCTCCAAACAAAAAACTGTGTTTTCCCCACTCCCTCCAGCTTCAGGTATTTAAGGGGTGCAGGGGCAAGCAGAGGGTCATCCTATTTATTTTGGTGACCATACCTCTTTAAATCAGCTTAACTTATTTGTAGCTAGCTTAAAGTGCAAATTTGAGTTTGATGCGGTAAGGGTTGATTGGAAATAGTTTTTTTTCTTTTTATATTTTAAAGAAAGCAAAAATAATTGTAAAAATAAGGCTCTAGTCACTTACCAGAAGAAAGCAGAAACTGTTTAGAGGAATTTCTTAAACATAAAAGCAGTGGACAGCTTCTTATTCTGTTCTGTGTGGGTTCTGATTATAAGATTACAATGGACTTTGCAAAATCCCGGCCATAATGAAGCATTATTGCCATTTGTGCATCTTGCCCTTTGTATTTGCTATACATGCATCGGATGTTTTTCCAGTTAATTTTTTGCCATCCGAATCATACAGAATATAGTGCTTCCTTAAGTATTTTATG